AAATCAGGGTCTTCTATGTATAATAGAAGACCTCATGAACTTCTATGTATAACAGAAGACCTCAGGGTCTTCTATGTATAATAGAAGACCTCAGGGTCTTCTATGTATAATAGAAGTCCTAGGGGTCTTCTATGTATAATAGAAGACCTCGGGGTCTTCTATGTATCATAGAAGACCTCGGGGTCTTCTATGTATAATAGAAGACCTCGGGGTCTTCTATGTATAATAGAAGACCTCGGGGTCTTCTATGTATAATAGAAGACCTCAGGGTCTTCTATGTATAATAGAAAACCTCAGGGTCTTCTATGTATAATAGAAGACCTCAGAGTCTTCTATGTATAATAGAAGACCTCAGAGTCTTCTATGTATAATAGAAGACCTCAGAGTCTTCTATGTATAATAGAAGACCTCAGAGTCTTCTATGTATAATAGAAGACCTCAGAGTCTTCTATGTATAATAGAAAACCTCAGAGTCTTCTATGTATAATAGAAGACCTCAGAGTCTTCTATGTACTTCCAGATGAACTGAGGTTTTTCTGCGTATAATTATTCGTTACACATTAAATCTTAAATACATCGAATCCATTTACTTCGAATTATTATCTGACTTTATAAAATTGTATGTTATTATAATTAAAACAGTGATAATCTTAACTTTCTCCTCCCATCCTCCAATTAAAAAGATCCCACACAATGTCTTTCAACTGAACTAATTTTATGCATTTGAGCTTTAATGCAGAGATCCATAAAAATCCGACCATTAATTTTAACGATTTATTTTATATTGATGAATATATAGTTCGAACCACACACTCATTGCTTTGCATTTTCTTGTTTTGAAGACAAAATATAAAATACCCTACAAGTCACTTCTTAAGTGCAGAAAAGAAAACTTGTAAAACACCTACACACCACCGACACCGTCATCATGATGCATCACACCATATAACATAACTTTCTATAAACTGCATATCTCTTGTCAAAACAGAACAAATGGTTTTGGTTGTTTGTATGCAGTAAAATAAAATACCGTTAAAGTCATACTACTTCGGTGAAATACGCATCATCCTCAAGTGTAGTTGTTGGCTCGTTTCCCAAATATGGCAGGACAAGGAAGTTTAATGAACTGCAACATGATGTCTTTCTTGAAGCAAAAACAAAAAATCTGCTTAAATCATGACTCTGCCCTAAAAGGATGAAATTGTAATAAATTCGTTTTCTTGTGAAAAAGCGTCCACCGTTGAGTGGAGGATATAAAGTTTATTTTTGTTGGTATGGTATATTCTGATATACAAAGTAAACTATATGTATGTCAATCAGGTTGTCCATTCCCCTAGAGGATTTACGGTAATTTCAAGACGATGTAGGCGATTTTATTATTTTTTAAAGACTTTGTTAATGTATTTCCCAATTTAAGTGTGATCTTGATAATATATCTTATTGGAGTTTAGTAATGAATGTACAATTGAGTTAAGAGAGTATTGGGAAATTAAAAACACCAATCGTAAAGTTAAAATTGAATGCGTGAGACAATTCAGCCTAAAAGTATGCTTTATATTGTATACTTTTCACCTTCAAAATCTACAAAGTTAATTAATATCAACATCTAAACTCATCTTAGCTAGATTGTTGTCGTTTTAAATTTCAAATATTCCAAAATGATATAAGTTTCTTCCGAGCCACGCTATGAATGAGTCTGACTGGCTATGCTTATATAAATATGCAGGCTTATCTCTTAGCCATTTATGGCATCGGTTTCAGTCGTCCCAGAGCTCTTTCAAAGTATGTTTCGTTGGTGACAAGGCCTCTTTTAAAATTTTTTTCTGTCCCGTTCAATATGAAGAACCAAAAGAAGCATTTACGGCATTGCTTTACGGGAGTGGTACTACGACCATTAGGACCGTCCGCAATTGGTTTAAGAAATTTAGAGCCGGCAATTTTGATTTTCAAGATGAAGACCGCAGCGGCTGAAGGCTTTGCTCGCTGAAAATCCGGGAAATAGTGTGTGCGAGATAGGGGATGACACTAACGTACCCAAGACAACGGTACATAGGCATTCGTTATGATCGGTTAGTTTTGTGGGAACAAATGTAGTCTAACCTACAATTATTATGTATGTATAAAAAGGTCGTTTTGGAAGGCACCAAATTAGACATAATTCGGTTGAATTTAGGGGGAGCTGCCCTAAAAAGTGGACCAATATTTATAATTGTTGTTATGAAGGTGGAACCTAAAATTCTAAATCACAATCAATTTGTTTAAAAAAGCGAACAAAACATACCAAAAAAAACGCAGGTCTTATCATATTCTAATCATGAATATATTCTTTATCGAGTCACCGGTAAATATTTTGGGGTGTTGCAAACTGAATGACAAATTGTATATACACTCCAGCCTATGGTAGAGTGAATAAAATATCGCCGATGGGTTATATTAGGTTACAGGATGCGCGGGTGTCAAAAAGGCGACCGCTCCACTCGAAGACGTAATGTTCATTGTTATTATTCTAATAGAGTAGTGAAGCAGAAAGAAGTAAAGATGACGACGATAGAAAAATCTAGTAAGGTTAAATATTTAATTTCATTTATTAAACTTTTGGCAACCAAGACTAAAAGGCTGTCTTTGTTAAACTATTTTAGTTGCTAAACTAAATCTTAAAACTAGATATTGGAATACAATAACAATATTCTTAATTTAACCGTGTCAGTTTCCTAGCAAAGCTGTGAATGATTTTGAGGTCTATTTTGGAGTAAAAGGTTCGAGTTTCTACCTCCCAAAAAGTTTATGCCTTCTGCGCATCAAAGCATGGGGCATCATCTACAAAGTAAATGTTCGCTACATTCTGTTTCCTCTTCATCATCACATAGCTGGATATAATCCACCTCAATAATCTCCCTTTAAAAAAGAGGTCTGATTCTGTAGTGGCCTGTGTTATAAATTGTGGTTGTCATTATCTCTTTTCTACTTATAGAAATTAATGATTTAGATGTACGCCTAGAAATTACAGGCAAAATATTTCCCATTCCATCTTGTAGTTACTTTCTCATCGTAAAGCTTGCGGATTTTGACAAAAAAAGAAGCTAAGTGAAGGTCTAACAATGTCATCATTTGTTAAATCGATTGACTACGGTCGAGCAAAGTCGTCACCTACATCATTTCCGATAACATTGTTATGCCCTGGAACCAAAAACAAAGCCTAACAAAATTCCGTATATCTCACAGAGCTGATTAACAATCATCAATTACCCTAGAGTTTACAGTCCACAACCTTATTGCTTTAAGTGTCGATTGAATATCGATAAATACCGAATGCCGACTCACAAGTACACAGTTCCTTGACTACCTCCGCTGCTTTCAGGATTTCTGTAGTCTCTGTTTGAAATACGCTACAATTATTATTTGGTTTGTATGAGTTCTTAATTGAAAAATCTTCCCCAATAACTCCCGCACCTGTGTCTTGTTCCATATCTGAACCGTCTGTATATACTAACAATCAAGAGGAGGAAGCTCACCCGCCTAGGAGTCTCTGTTCGATATTATTTTAAATTGCTCAAAATTGAAGTATCAATGAAATTCCGATTGTAACAGAGTACGTGGGGAAGAATTATACATTTCCAATGGGAAATTTGAGGCCTCCAAGCCCGAATCGTGTCTTTCCATTTCTAGAATCTCTGCTTGAAAAACGCTACACAATTATTATTAAGTGAACATTATTTCTTTCATCTTTGGAAGCTCACTCGCCCAGGACTCTCTGCTTGGTATTGTTATCTTATATTTCTCAAAATTAAATATACCCACTTGAATTTCAATTGTGACAGAGTTCGTAAGGGTAGAATTATACAGTTTGAATGGAAATTTGGAGGTCACCGAGCCTCAATCGTGTCTTCCCAACGAAAAAGTGAAGATTGTTAAAGAAAGCAAATAATGTTTCATATTTATCTTGGGTTCATATTTACATCACGATCCCTTTGGAAGTAACCAGAAAGGAATGCCACTTAGATCTGCCATAATTGAAACTCAGGTATATTAAGATCGCCATTGTCTGAAAGCTTCATAGGGAAAATGAACGACCTTGATGCATTTTTGATTGGTTGCACGATGTCATTTCAACCCTATCATATTATATTAAGATGACGAACTCTGCTGAGAATCTGTTATAACAACAATTTTGGTTCTGTCTACTCACATACTTTCTTCCACACATGGTAGAAATTTGATATAACGCAACAACAGTTGTTGTGTGCCAACTACGATTGTTGTTGTTTGTTCAAAAAAGAGACTTTGAGACTCTCAAGAGAGAGAAAAATGGAAACATGAGTTTCGAGGATTGAAAAAAGCCCGAATCGAGCTTATAATGGACAGTCCGTCTATAGTAACCAAAAATTAGTGGTTCCACGTTTTAGACGCTTAATGTGGAAAAAACTATTATCCGATTAGATGGTCGGTAAAAGAGAAGAAGTTCAAATTTATATTCCATATTTTAATTCGTTAAGCTTGTAGGATATGGAAGATACATATTTATGGAAATTCTGCATATTCAAATATTATTTAGTACTATCACACTAGTGAGCGTAAATATGGAAAAATATTCCTGAAATAATTATAAGAATTTAACTCTACTGAAACTCTAAAGAGAACAATTTTGTCTGCTCCGATCGACAATTCTGGCTTTTCGGCAATCTACGTGATATTTTGGCAATGCTTCATACAAAATGGGTGAAAATTAAGCATCATCTCAGGTATATAAAAATTGACATTGCCGGAAAGGAAATGTGCGACCTTGAGGCATTTTTAATTAGTTGCACCATGTCAATTAAACCCTCTCACATATTAACATGACGAACTCTGTAGAGAATCTTTTATAGCAATAATAATTTTGATGCGTATTTGTATATTTTCTTTCGCACTTGGTAGAAATTTGATATGACACAACAACAGTTGTTGTGTGCCAACATATATTGTTGTTGTTGTGTCCCTAAAATTCTACATCCTTATATCACTACAAAACTTACGTTGATTCCTTTGAAACTCTTGAGCTGGCATCTGAATCATGACGACGACGTTTGGCATCCGATCGATTATTTTTATAACGTGGCCTATACACAGAGCAAAGGAAAATAAATATGAAATATTGAAACAACTGTTCTAAATATGAATATAAAAATAAATACAATCCAAATCATACTCACGGTGAATTAACATCTGAGGCTATTGGTGAATTTTCCTCAGAATCGACACGCCGACGTTTATCACGCATCCCACCGGATGAACGATCTCTTGAATGATGGCGTCTACGTGTGCGGGGCATCTGTAATAGAAATTGTAAAGAAAAATTTTATTGATTGATGGATTGAATGCAAAAAAAAAAAAAAAAAAAAAAAGAATTGGAAATTAAAAATTGAATTAGATTTTGATGTTTGATTAAACACTACAATTGCAATTGAATATTCCGTATGGAGGGGGACGAAGGGTTATTCTACTATTATTAGAGGTTTCAAGTAATAGTAGTTGTAGAAAAAAAAACAGCCACGAAGACATGCCAAGAAAACAAAAGGCAAATGTGAAGAAAAACAAACACTTCGAAGATATGTGTTGGTAATACTTCATAAATCGATGTATTATTTATAATAAAAAAATTATGGATAAATGCAGCAAATTATTCGAAAGGCATATTAACCACCATCATCTATGGGTTGTGGTGGCCACACAATTGAACAAAAATAGCGCAACTACAATTGATATCAGTTGGAGCGGCGCCCATTCCACCACCCCACTATTTGCAACATTATGTAGTCAATACTTTAAAAAAAAAAACAAAACAAAATTTTACCTTTCGTGTTAATTAATTGAATACAAAAAAGTGGATTTTTTTTGTTGTTGGTTGTGGGTCTCTAGAATTGAACACACCAAATAGTTGTGCACCACTTATGGTCGGTCGGGTTAGTTAGGTTTGGTTAAATAGTTGCTGTTTTGTTTTTTTTTTTTTTTGTTGTTAGCCTGGGGTTTAGTTGATTGTTGGTTGGAAAGGTCAGCACCACCCGAAAACGATGTCCATAGGCGGAATATATATTTTTTTTTTATTTTGTCAGAATTATTTGTTAATTCTTGTTCTTCTTTCTTGATTGTTTGTTTGTTAGCTAGCAGAGGCGACGACGTAGCGAGAGTTATAAAAAACGTGAAACAAGTTTATTTTGTGCGAAATACGAATTTTGTAGATTGTTGAAGACGACGGACGACTGGGAGTCTTAAAAACAGCAGTCCGTATTAACTAAAAAACAGCAACACCGCACTCCACCGTCGTAAAATTGTATGGAGCAATGGTTAGATGGATGTATTTAGAAATAAAAAAAGTGTGCGCAAAATTGATTTTTCTTTTCTCCTCCGTGTTTCCTTCCTTCTTCAGTGTTTTACAACGACGACGTTGTTGTTGTCGTTGGTCTGGCCTGTCTTGTTGTTTTTTGAAGGGGTTTTCCTGTTTTTTTTTCTTTCTGTCTTCTGTTGATTCAATGAAATTTTCCAATTGAATTTTCCCCCAATTTCACGTGTTAACTTGAAGTATTTGAATCGATCAAAGGCAATATTTTAATTTATTCTTTAGTGGTTTGCGATTTTCTTATTGAAATTCATTCGAACAGTAACAAATAAAAAACACTTCCAAACAGCTTCAAGTAAATCTGCAAACACACACAAATCTTTCAACTTTGTTCACACTCTCATCTGGTTTGGTCTCTCACTCTCTTGTTGGATTTTTTTTCTATGGCTGTCAAATGTCAAATTTGACATTCAAGGGAACGACCTCTGCTGGTAATATTTTGTAGTTGCCAAAACAGTTGAGGCACGAGGTGACGTTTTTGTTTGATAGCCATTGATTTAAATGGCGCGAAAATTAAAAAAGAGATGCCATATCTGTTTGGTAAGCTTAATGAAAAGAAACAGTTTAAGATGGCGTTTAGATTTGTGAAATCCACGCGATCTCAAATTTAAAATATAATTAGACCTTGGATTTTGCATATTCGCATATTTTTTAATAATTAACATATCGAAATTCTGATTGGACACAAAATTCGTTCCAAACGACTTAGAATTAATTGAAGGGGTCATGTTATTTTGAAATCGAGTAGATTTAGTAATCTATACGTGCTCTAACAAGTTTATCAAGACTTTCAATGGCTTGAAATGGAACAATAATACAATGTAGGGTACATATACACACACATGACAAGTACACTACTTTGAAAGATGTCAATAAATAAAAACAAATAGACTAAGTTGTGCATATAGAACCATGGATCAGTATCCAATTTATTGACAAATGTAGAACCGATAAAATGTATTTCAAATGTTTAAGGGATTATTTATACTCTTTCGAGTCGAGCTTGATGATCTAAGTTTTGCAATGAAAAGGAAAGCCAGGAGAAGAACCTACGTACACACCATTATGCGACGCGTTTCGCCGTTGGTTAAGCGGCTCATCAGGCATATTGGGCTATGTGGCTTTACAAAGGTCGTACCGTTGATAACTTGTATTTATTCCGCCCTGATGCGAAACTTGCATATTCGAATTAAATTTAAATTTGTCAAAGTTCGACATTTGTCTTCACTCTAGGAACAGTCCTTTTCAAAGCAGATTTTTGTTGTAGCGATGGATAATTATTCCACACACCTACAATTGCTTCCATGGTATACACATGTTTTTGCGCATCCGTTTTGGAAGTGTGTTGATGGCTCAGAACGTTAAGTGGTCTGGCAACATTTGTGTTGCTCCGAGGACCTAGGTTCGAGCCCTAGCCGTGCTCAGCTGAAATTAATTTTTGTTATTTGAATTTTGCCCTGTAAGGGCAGTGATCATTTGAAAGTAATTTTCAAGTGATTATTTATACTCTTTCGAGTCGAGGTTGATAATCTAAGTTTTGCTGGAAAGTTTAACATTTGCATCAGTAAATTTTTATATCATTGTGGGTTACTGTTTATAAATGATATAGACCCCATATCATTTATAAAGCATGTTTTTGTAAAATTCTAAACGAACGAATTCGAGTGACTTACGACCAAACTCCTTGGTTTTGAAAAATATGTCATTTATTTTTGTTTTGAATCAAGAAACATTTTTTTACATAAATAAAGGTTTGGTAGTAATTCCTTCGAATTGTTTAGTTTCGAATTTTACAAAAACAGGCTGTAAGTCAAAATTTCATATTTTTGTAAATATTATTAATTTTTGAAAAATTTTATATAACACACATGACGCATGTCAAAATATTAGAATGAAAAGGCTGTCAATTAAAAATGATGGAACTGGTGTTTATAATGACATTGACAATTATGAGTAATTTGAAGATAATCAAAAATTTTGCACATAAAACTCATAAATTTGATTTTCTCCAAAACATTTGAGTTTCAGAATCTAGTGCCAAGCAGTGTCTGAGAATATTTTAATGGTTATAGCACCAATTGACGCATTGGTATGTTCTCTGTCCGGAATTTTGTGACCATTTATAAACATAAGATTTATTGTCGATAATATAAAAATAGTCGTTGAAAATTTCAAATTGACTTCAAATAGCATAGAATGCTGACGATAAAGTTGGAAGATATTGTCTCACCTTACAACAAAATTAGCTTTAATTTGGTATTTTAACTTTGCATTGTGTACATATTCTTAACAAAAATGAAAAATTTTTGTCCACAATTTGGGGTAGCTTCCATATAACGGTATGTCGGTTTTTGCGCGTTTTCAGCCATAATCTTCGTACCAAAAGCTATCAATATTGACCTTAATTTTTAGGATTGGCGTTTTTCAACCAAATTGACTAAATTTAATGAAAGTATACCATAGTTCTAAGACAATAATACATAAAAATTCGATTTCATACTATGCGGATTTTAAATAATATGAAGAAATGAAATATTTAATTTTTTCTTATGTTTGGTCCGTCGTTTTGGATTCATTTTATTTGATGATTTCACATTTGTGATTAATCCTCATAACTCTACAAAACAAAAATAATTTAATGTATTCAACTTTAAAAAATCCACCCTATCGAATTTTTATATTTTTCTTGCATAATCGTTATAAGCGTCCCCTGTGATATATATTTATTCATAAACCCACCGCTCTAATTATGGCGTCTATGACCCATATTGTGACTAGTGTTCGGTAATTGCAGAATTAGATTTCTGCAGTGGAAAAGGAATTACAACCTTTTGTAAAGACAATCGTCATTCAAATCAAACCTACCATCAACCTTCTTCATTGTATTCTCATTCATATACAATTAAATTCATTCATGACACCTCGTTTTGTGCGAAATTAATTAGTATATTTTAAAACAACAAGTGTTTGTTTTACGACATATGGAGAGGAATTCCGATTAGAATTATGAAAATATTGACCAGCGACTTGGACTCAATTTTTTAAAGCAATGGCAACTCACTGACAACTTTATTTAATTTTAATATTAGTTTATATAGGTTTGATTTTATTCCAACATGTACAAATTGAGTCGATTTTGAAGTCACGGTCTAAACGTCTGTTTGTTTTACAGTTTTACAATAAACACAACAGAGTGGCAACATAACATACACTCATGTTTTAACCGAGAGTAGTGGCAACTTTATGATAAATGCAACATATGATGTTTCATTCCATGCATTCCGCGCAAATTATTTACAATTACAGTCTAATTGGAATTCAATTGCAATAACCGGAATTATATGATTGTTTATTGGACAATTGGTAGGTTAATAAATTATTTAGTATAAACAATAGAAATGATTATTTGAAATAAAACAATATTTTGCTTAAATTTTGCAGAAAAGTTAATGAATAAAAAGCCGAAATAATTGACCTCCATGAAAGGCAAATACGAAATACATCATCAAAACACTTGAAGCTAAAACAAAAGTAAATAAATAAACAGCAAGAGATAAGCTTACTAAGAAGCACTACTGGCATAGATATACCTACATACAGACAGATAGACAACAAGTTATTTGTTAAAATTACACTATCATCACGTGGCAAATCGAGTGAAGAAAAAATGTCATTGAAATTTGCAGCAAATTTGAATTTCCTCTTCACAGAGGCTCGCACAATTGCCGAAAGAATTGTCCTGGCTCACAAAGCAGGATTTCGTGCAGTGGAAATACCTTACCCCAAATCAGAAGAAGAAGCTGTAGTCAAGGCAAAACAAGAGACCGGCATTCATGTCTCCCTGGTGAACATTGCACTGGGCAGCAATGAATTGCAGTTGGGTGCAACAAGCATTCCCGGTGCTGAAAAACAATTCCAAGAGCATTTAAATGAAACCATACAGTTGGCCAAACAATTGCAG